AGAGAGAGAGAGAGAGAGAGAGAGAGAGAGAGAGAGAGAGACTGACCAACTGGCTGACATCCTGCGCGCGCTCTGGGACACACACTTAGCTGGACCCTATTTTACCACCTTAACCGCGAAGCTGCAGGTGCTGTGCGAGTGGCGACTGCGCGTGAGACCCGAGCTCAGAGACTTCTCTACTCTAGTTCTCACCCCAAATTACAACTATGATCTTCGATCGCCTTTGTCTCTCTTGTCAAGAGGCAGGTGGAAGGAGACGTCTCTGTCCTTGGCTGAGCCACCACACCACTCGGGCGCCCGCAGTTCCATTTCCCGGGCAGATGCGAAACTCCCGGGTTAAAATTCTGTTCATATCCAATCATCCAGGGGCAGTGGAGAAGGTAGTAGAGTTCAGGTCTTGCGGCTCTGAACTCCAACAGCTGGAGTCAGGGAAATTGTTTTTAAGAGTCAAAGTCAGTTCTGTTGAGGCCTCGGTTGGAAACTAGGGCCACAGGACCCGCTTTTCCCCCATCAGGGTTTGAGGGCAGAAGGAATTTCTGCAAGGGCCTCAGGCAGCCTGTTATCAGTGCGTCCTCAGTCCGATCCGTGTGTCCCAGACCAATCGGATCTGGGTTCCACGAGAAAGCCGAAGATGGTTTCTCCTAAATAGTGCCTGAGACCCTGGGGACCCCCGCCTGGTCCCACGGGTATGTTCTCTTTCTAGGTCTCCCGGGTCCCTCGGCTCCAGCCCCTTCTTAACCCTGCTCAGGGTTGCTTCTGATTTCTCTAGGTCTCTCTCTCCTCTTCCCATGCTCTAGGGGCTTTCAGTGAGGATAGCCTATTTTAAATGCTTTGTGTGTGTGTGTGTGTGTGTGTGTGTGTGTGTGTGTGTTTTAATGGAACTGACAGCGTCCTACCACTCGCCCTCACGGGCATCTGGGGTTCCTTCCCAGCGGGTTGGAGGCGCTCCTGCGAGTGCGTTCTGTGGAGTGTGCTAGCGCTGAGGGCTCAGGAGTACGATGCCTGCTGCGTTTGAGTTAACCTGCCAGCTTCTCAGAAGTCCCCATTGCGGAGGTCACACCAGCGTGGTAACCGAGGGAACTCACCCTAGGGCGACTTCGGGCGACTCTCCTACACCCTAAATCAGCGCTTCTGCCCCTCCCCCTCCCCCTGCCTGACAAAGAGGTGACTTCTAGTGGTGGTGGTGGAGGGGGGGGCGCGTCTTCCTTGAAACTCCAGAAAATGACCATGCATTTTAGAGAAAGGTCGTGCCCGCTTCCCAGACTCACCTAGTCTGGGTTGCGGCCAGGATCCTCCTCCCCACCATTCCCCCAAAACTAGCGGAGGGAGAGATGCCAAAGCGGTGGAGTCATGCCGCTGGCTTGGGCACCATTGGCTCATGCCTGGAACACGCAGCCGCGAGTAAGCACATCTGGCGGCCCGCCCAGGCCGCTCCGGACCTGATATGGAGAAAGAGGGCGGGCGGGTGTGTGTCCCAGGCGTGAGAGGACTGGTAAACGCACAGCGGCAGGCTCCTCCCAGAGCTTGCATCACCAGCTTCACCCCCCCACACCTCCGCCCTCCAGCCGTACTTCGCCCCGCCTTGGTCCCTCCTCTAGCCCTCCTCCTTTGCTCAGTTCTGCTGGTTCTCCCGGGAAGCTATTAATAGCATTACGTCAGCCTAGACTGCTAACCCAGAGTAGACCAGCAAGCTGCCAGCGGGAGGGCTATAAAAGGGGTGATGCAACGCGCTCCAAGCCACAGTCGCACTCCGCGAAGCGCGCACTACACAACTCTCTCCCTGCGCCGCAGCCGGAGCCGACCCGCCAGCCCGCGCGCCGGCTGTGAGTCCTCGGTGCTCGACCGACCGCCGGACAGAAAAACAGCCGGACCCTGGCCGTCACGAGCGGAGACTGGAGGTGAGCGCTGGAAGTTGAGTAAAAGAACGCGGCGAGGGTGGCTAGAATTCATTCCTTTCGCGCCCCTCTCTTAATCAATTGCCAGAAATCTACGCTAATCCTTGACCCGCACCCCTAGTTTTCGACTGCAAAAGTAACTCTGTTTGAATTTCACGGCTGCCGCGGCTGCTCCTCAGTGTTTCAGAAAGTTTCTCGAAAAGTGAAAGAACTTTCTCTTTTTGACTTGGGGCGCGAAAGATTTCGGGTGGAGGAGGAGATCGGGCGCCTGCTCCGCAACCGTCTTGGGAGCGCCTCTCGGCCCTCAACTGCGGGAGGGCGAGGGGCGGGTGGGTGGTGGTGTGTGGGGGTGACCCAGGCGATCCGGCTCGCCGTCCGGCTCCTTTCCTCACTTCTTGTCGGAGCTCGGCTACTTGGAACTGATCTTTCCCAAGTCTACAGGGAAGTGCGATCGCTGAGGGCTCTTGGAAGCGCTGCCGCAGGCACAGAGAGGAATGAATGGGGTAGGGGTGGGTGAGCCGGGATAGTGCAAACGGCCGCTGGGGGTCATCCTGTGCATACCTAAGCCTTTGGAGGTAGGATCGCATAGGGAGCCCAGAGCGAAAATTGGAATAAGTTTGGAGCTGGTGAGAGCCTCGGTGCTGCGCTGTCTTAGGGCGGAAGGCGGAGAGAACTCGGAACACCGATTGGTGTCGGGCTCCTGGGCCTGGGACTTCCTTTTCCAGTCTCATGGTCTTTTCTCTAGTAACTGTGATTCTCGCTCAAACTTTTCCTTTGAGTTTTCCGACATTTCTGTTTTGCGCTCATGGAGATCCACCATCGGGGGAAGCAATAGTGTGGAGTCAGTTGTACAGATATTTAAGAGAATGCTTGTGATCTAGTGCCAGGACTGTTAGAGCTTATACTGCACTTTCTGTCCTTGAGCTTCGGTGTCCCGGGTCGGGAAATAATGAGCACATAGACACTACGGACCCTTCCTGCCCGTTGAAGAGCACGATGTGGTGATTGGATCAGATTAACATCAAGGTCCTTCCTGGCTGAAGATTTTCAGATTTTAGTGTGATGTAACTGAAAAAAAGGGGCCAGAGAAGGAACTTGAATGAGGAGGTCTGTAACATCACTGGCTCGTCTCTGAGACCTTGGCAGAAAGGGGAGATTCTTTATGTGGCATCTCCGTCCGTCCCCAGCTTTATTCCCGTTGGGTCTCCTTTGCCTCCACCCCCCATTTTCTTTATTGGTTACCCTGATTGAACTCGGGGGCACTCAACCATTAAGCCACATCCTCAGCCCTACTTTGTATTTTATTTAGAGATAGGGTCTCACTGAGTTGCTTAGCACCTCACATTTGCTGAGTCTGCCTTTGAATTACTTACTTCCTTTCCTCCTAACCATTTTCCCCCTTAGTTTCATTAAGTACAAAGATTACATCTACTATTTTTTTTTTTGGGGACCAGGGGCATTCTACCATTGAGCTATATCCTCAGTGCTTTTTTTTTTTTCATTTTTATTTTTATTTTTGAGACAGGGTCTTGCTAAATTGCAAAGGCTGACCTCCAACTTGTGATCCTCTTACCTCAGACTCCAGAGTGGCTGGAATCACAGGAGTGCACCACCATACCTGCCTCTATCACATATGCTTTCTTACAAATAAAGGAGTTGCCAATTCGTTGGGAGAGCCAGAGAAAGAATTGGCTAAATAATCTGAGTGTTCTCCCAATATATCTATTTCAATGTGGATAATAATCACATCTTCTGTTTGGGAATCTTGTCTCCTCAACTTAAGATGAAGAGGAGATTGGTACTACTGCCCATCTAGTTTTGCATCTAACATTTGTTGTAGGATAGTGCTACAACATAGAAGCTCTTGCTTTGAGGGTATCCTCAGTGAGGTGGGGGTTGCAGTCAGTGCCTGGGTGGTTTCAGAGTCAGTAAAGAAAACAGGTACCTAGGCCCCCAGTGTGGATGAAATACAGCAGCCAGCACAGGTGGCAGCTCTGTCCTTCCTGTCATAGCCCCGCCTCTCTCTTCCTCTCCCTCTTCATCCTTATCACTGCATAATTCCTCTCTCTTTATGGCCTTTTCTTCTGTAATCCCTCCCTGTCTTAGTCCTGTCAAAGTCTCCTCCCTGGTACATGTTGATCCCTCATCTACCTGGCTACTGATTTTATTCTCTGGTTATCTCCCTGGTTTATCTAAGTGATGGATCCCTTTTCTGATGGAGCAAAATGAGTAGTGGGTGGGTGTCAACAACTTGATATTGACTGGGCCAATCTCCAGCTTTATGACCTTCCTGAGCCTCAATTTACTTTAATTACAAAATGAGGATCTCACCTACATGACTCTAATATTGGACATTTTATGATTCCCACTAGATACAGCCCTTGATTTCTAACTTTTAAAAATTGGCTGGGCATAGAACAGGGTCAGTGTCTCCAAGTTTTGCCCAGCCAAGGGGGGAAGAAGGGTATAGCCAGGACACCATGGAAACTTTTCTAGGAACAAATGGTTTTGTGTATGAGAAATGGTAATCTCTCAAGTATGTAACACCAGTGGAGAATGTTTGTGTCAGCAAATGGGGGTGGTGGTGGTGGAATTTATCTGGTGCCTTAGGAACCTGGGGGTTAATCAAAGTACACAAGAGGCTGTGGCTGACCTGAAGTTCTCAAGGGTTCCAGTTAATTCCTGACTAATAAATAGGGCTAACCTGAAATGGGACAGTGGAGTCACAGTAATAATGTGTGTGCATGCAAGACAAGTATTCTACCAACTGAGCTATATCCCCAGCCCCTCGGGTGCTCTTCTTGACAGCCCTTTGAGAGAACTGGTGCAGGCAGACTTGATCTCATTTTATAGATGAGGAGACTGAGACCCAGAAAGCCTCAATGGCTTGTTGGTGTATAGATACTCATCTTGTGAGTGGTAGAGAGAGAGTTTTGGAAATGTTGTCTCTGACCCTGAAGCTCAGCCTTACACCTCAAGCCTTCAAATAGGCTGGAAGAAAGACCCATATTGAAAGGTCAATATTGGCTTCTTACTACGGTAAGTTGGTTAGCAAGGAGTGCTTGGTGGAAAGAAATGAAAATTAAAAGTGAAAATTCACTGTGTAGCTACCAGGAAATAAAAATCTGGGAGCTGAATTTCCAGTTAAAGAAATACACGAGTGAAGTTTCACTTTCTTGAAAATGATGAAACTCGCAATGATATGACATGCTTTCTGATTGGAAACAAGTTCTTTTGTATCGGATCTAAGCAATTTTATCATCAATATAGAAAGTTAACTCAGATCATCTAAAGTCCCCCAAACATAGTTTTTCTCTTCAATGAAGGGGATGTTAAAGGGCTTCAATTTTCTAAAAATTGTCTGAAGATTTAATTTTATTTTCTTTGTTGGGAACACAACCAGTGTCTAAGCTAAATCATACCACAAGAGACTGAGTGAAGGACAATCTAGAAAGTACCTCCCCATAGGCTCAGCTTTAGCTTAGTGCAGAGAAAGCCTAAATCTTTACAAATTCTTTATGTTCAGAAAAGCTCAACATTTTTGCAACTCATCTCTGTCTCCAAGTCAGCCTGCCCAATGCTTTTTATAAAAACATTCCACACCACTGACCTTCAGTTTATTTCATTAAGACTGCTAAGAAAGAGAGAAAGTTTCAAACAGCAGACCCCCCAAGCCCTGAGGGCTCATTAATAAACTTAGCTGGGTGGCAAGATAACATACACTCAACTGCAGTGGAATTCAAGCCTCCCTGGAGAAGGGATCCATCCGGTCCTTCAAACAAAACCAGCCCAGTGGTAGCTCCAAATTCCATCCCTGAACTATTGGATTTTTAATAGGAGGAATGCATGGGAGAATCCTAAGCCTCTGGCTTCAGAAGCTTAGAGCCTATCATCTGTCCAAGAAGTATCCTCCCAGCATTTTAAGATTATAGGATTAAGTAAGAGAAGAACTTCAGTTTTGAAGCTCTGGAGAAGAATTATATTTCCTGGGTTTCTTTGACTAGTCCATGGTAGCATTCATTGGTCTGGAATTCTTGCCTTGTATCTCAGGTCTCCAGTAGGAATTAGAGGTTGGGGTGTTTTAATCAGAAACCTTTCAGATAAAGATGGTGACCAGCCACCCTTCCACGTGTACCTCACAGAGTGCCAGCCAAAGAGCTGGCCTTGGGCTAAAAAGACTCCTGGAAACCTGGTGAAAATGACTCGGTTAATTGTTGTTAGCCTCCTCTTACAGAGGAGAAAGCCATTAAGAGGTACAGTGGAGACATATTATGTGGTCTCACATCTTGATTTCCTGATCCCAGTCTGGAAATTTTGTGAACAGAAAAGCCCATTTAAATGTAAGTTCTTTAATTTAGGCAGCAGTTAAGTATGTACCCTGATATATTAAGATCAGCAATTTATTCCTCCCTTCTCTTGTTTCAGTTCCAGACCTGTCACCTGCCCTTTCCCTACCCCAAATTCCTTTGATTTTTGTTTGTTTGGGGGTACTGGGGATTGAACCCAGGGGTGCTTAACCACTTAGCCATATCCTGAGCCATATCCCCAGCTTTCTTTATTTTTTATTCTGAGATGAGATCTCACTAAGTTGCTTAGGGCCTCATTAAGTTGCTGAGGCTGGCCTTGAACTTGGTGATCCTCCTGCCTCAGCCTTTCAAATTGCTGGGATTACAGGCATGTGCCACCACACCCAGTTTGTTTTTGCAATGTAAAATAATATGCATGTTTTTGCAACATAGAGCAATATTCGGTTTTGCAGTGTATACATTGTGGGAATGAATTCTAGGGCCAAACAAACCTAATTCCAAATTCTGACACTGCTCTATAAAACCTCCATGACTTCAAGCATATTAGTTGGTCTAAAACTCAGTTTATTCATGTATAATTTGGGGCTGGGACTAAACCCACTGGGTTCTCATAAGGACTAAATGACATAAGGCACATGAGGTCTGGAATGAAGGAGATACTCCCTCAGAGTTAGAGATTTGCCAAGGGGCTTCCTGTCTGGCTGGGCTGGGCTAATGACCACAGATCCCTGGATTGAGAGGGTTGCTCCATGGGACTGCCTGCCCAGATAGTCCTCATACTACTCATTGCTCCTGAGAACCAACTGCAGGGGAGTCCACAACAGGCAGGGATTTACAGGGGATTGGGATCATGGAACCATCGCTATTTCTACCCTTTATTTTCCTTTTGTCATCCCTTTGGGTTCCCTGACCCAATATAGCATGACACAGGAGAATGGGACCATTTGACTACTCCATCCCCCTCTCATTTATTCAGTTGGACAGTGTCCATCCCATCAGGCACAGCTGGACTAGGCTGTGGGATGGAGTAAACAGCAGACTCCTCCCAGGAGTCTTGACCATTCACCAGATGAAGAGTTGAAGTGACTGACCCAAGTTACCTGTTCCTTAATGCTGGAGCCAATTCTAGGACCCCCTCCACCCCCAGCCCAAGTCTTTCCCTATACCTCAGGGTTCAACGACACCTTCATACAAGTGTCCAGCTCTCAGCTCCTGACTTTTCCTTACTCTGAGGTCTTTTGCTGACCTTAATATTAAGAAGGAGCTACCTGTTCCCTCGTGACTTGAATCCTGGCCATCTCCACCTGCTGCCAAGGACTGGAGCGAAGAAACACACCCAGCTATAGTTACCTTCCTCATTCCCATTATTTGGATCCAACTTCCTGGGGAAAAGTTTTAACCATAGATTTGCTAAATCTAGTGTCCCCCACTTCTTGCTTTTACTTCCACTCACTGGTAGATTCATATTGACTTCAGATGCCTTCCAATTTCTTTTTGAAAAGAGACTGAACATAGGATTACAAAAATGGTCTGATTTTTTTTTTTTTTAAAAGATGTTCTTCCTCTTTCAGGACTAAGGCTACATTTGCATATGTGCACACCAGCCAAAACTAATAACTCTTGGAAGAGTTCAGAATAGCTTGAAATGTCAACCCTTATAAACTTCAATTAGGCATTTTATACACGTCACTGAGCTGTGTATTTTAAGAACCTGTTTTACTCAAAATGAGAATGGCATGAAATGAAAACAAAACAGAAGCCTGACGGCTAATGGGACTTTCCTCAGGGAGTGGGCCGGGCTGTGGTGTTGGGGGGTCATAGGTGGGGAGAACTTGATCCCATGCCCCAGAACCCCTGAAGCAGTTTGGGTTTCAATGTGTCTTTCAGCAAAATGATGCTTCAACACCCAGGCCAGGTCTCTGCCTCGGAAGTCAGTGCCTCCGCCATCGTCCCCTGCCTGTCCCCTCCTGGGTCACTGGTATTTGAGGATTTTGCTAACCTGACACCCTTTGTCAAGGAAGAGCTGAGGTTTGCCATCCAGAACAAGCACCTCTGTCATCGGATGTCCTCTGCACTGGAGTCAGTCACCGTCAGCGACAGACCCCTGGAGATGTCGGTCACAAAAGCTGAGGTGGGTTCTACCACACGTGTTCATTCTTGCATATGTTTTGGGCACATTCACCACATGCTGCGCATTCTCTAGACTGGGGGTGGGGGTGGGGGCTAGAGTTGGGAATAAAGCAAAACTGCTGCTCCCAGGGAGCTTATTTTCTACGTGAAATAGATAAATCAAATGCAGAGCATGAGACAGGTGCAAAAGGAAAAGCAGAAAAGGGAACGGGGGAGTGGGAAAGGATGGGGTTGTTGTTTTAAATTATAAATTAGAAGGGCAGAGATGGCGGCACTAAGGTGGCCTTTGTGCAGGGACTTGAGGGGAAGATACTGTGACAGTCTGGCAAAAGAGAGAAAGCACCAGTGAGGAGCATGGTCAGTGCCAGGTGGGCTGTGTGGCAGGGTGGAGTGGTGGGGGAGGGGAAATAGGGGCAGATCATGTTGGGCCTTATAGACTGCTTTGTAGATATTGCCTTGTGCCCAGAGGTGAAATGGGAAGCCATTGCACAGGTTTCTGTGCAGAGGAGTCACATATTCTGACATATTTTAAAAGATTTCCCTTGTTATTCTGTTGCATGGGTGGTAAGGGCAAGGAGGGGTGTGGAGAAATGAGACAGGGGCAGCCTCCCAGGTCAGTGAAGGAGGGCCTGGGTCAGGAGGGAATGGTGCAGCTGCTGAGAAGTGTTTGGATTCTGGATCTGACTTGGGGATAAATCTGCTTTACTGATAGATTGGTTAGAGAGTGTGGGAGAAGGAGGACTCAAGGATGACTCTCAATGTTCTGGCCTGAACAGCTATAAAAATGGAATTTCCACTTGCTGCTGAAATTGGGGCTGCAGGAAGTCAGGGAAGGCAGGTGGTGCAAAAGCAGGAGTTGCCTCCTGTTCTGTTTGAACTGCAGTGAAGATATGGAGCAGATAGTTGCATATGTGGACCTGGAGTCCTGAGGAGTATGGGGGTAGAGATCTAGAGCTGGAAGGTATCAGCATATGGACATTGAAGTCCTGGGTTGGGAAGATGTCACTTTCTGTATCAAGTCTTTCTGAAGAAGAACGTAGCATGGTGATTTTTTTTTTTTTATCACTAACAGGACCTAAGGTTTCAGACAATGAATCAAGGACCAGGTAGCCAGCCCCACCCTTCCCTATAGCAATGCCCACAGCCTTGGTACCAAGTGTATGCTTAAGTTCATGTCTGTTTCAGATGCTTGCATTGTTCTGTACTTGGCAACCTTTCATAAGATACCTGAAATAACAGACATAGGAGACATGATTGCTGGGGATGCTGTGCTGGCTCAATGATGTCAGAGCTGGGATCTTGCAATTTTGTTGGCCTTCCCATGATGATTGCCAGATGGCACTATTGCAAGCTTACTTAACTGGCATGATTGCAAAGGGCAAAGGGCAGTGGAATCTGCCCTGAAGAACTGAGTTTAAAAAAGGTTGGGACTAGGGTTGTAACTCAGTAGTAAAATGCTTGCCCAGCAGAGAGCTTAGCTGATAGCATTCAATGAATGGTAGCTAGGACTATTTATAATGCTGTGGCCATATAGCATCATTAGGGGCATTAGCTGTGTTCCCAGTTAGCCTCAGAGGGACCCAAACAACGTTTACCAGTGCTCACTCAGTCCAATGACACTATCGTTGGGTTTTTCTTTTTTAAAATTTTTTGATTTTTTTTTATTTGTTTTAATTAGTTACACATGAAAGAACAGTGATCTTGACATCATACATTTGAATCAGATGGGATATAATTTCTCATTTTTCTGAGTGTACAGGTTGCAGAATCACATTGGTCATGCAATGGGTTTTTCTTTCTTTTTTTTTTTTTAACAATTTGAGATAACTGGATAAAATCGAACTAGCAGGAGAGAAAGGAAGAAAGCTTGGAAGGAAACTTGGGGAGTTCTCTGATTCTGTATTCACTTGACTTTGTGATCTTAGGTCAGTGTGACAAGTAGATTAACATATTGGAAAGAGAATGCACCAGCAGACATGGTTGAGTAGTAATTCCCACCTTCAAATAAGACACACACCCATCAAAGCCATAGGCATCCTGTATATCTGTGCATCATGAGTCTGCTTCCCAGATCCCAGTCCTCTCTGGAAAGGTGACATGGTGAACAAGGCAGCTGTGACAGGAAGGAAGGGAATGGAATGCCTGGGTTTATATTGTGTGTAGCTTACTGGTCTGGGGGTCGAGAGCCTCAAAGGATTCCTGGGGCCTCCTGGGCACATTTAAACTGGCCACTACGTGCCTCAGTTTCCTCATTAGTAAAATGAGGGAGGCTGGACTGAATGGGCCATAGAGAGCCCTTCCATCTGGACAGTTTGTGACTCTGTTTTCAAGAGCTTCCTCCTGAGCAAATGTGAATCCTCTTCCACCTGTCCAAAATGTCTACAGTGTTGCAAAATAAATACCTGTAGGGTTGCAATATCTTGAGGAAGATATTGATGGTGAAATTAATAACAGTAACTAAAGCTTATATAGCACTTAGTATAAGCTAAGTCCCATGCAAAGCATTTCATATATATTAACTCATTTGATCCTCATCATGGTCATAGTAAATAAATACTATTATTGATCCATTTTACAAATGAGAAAACTGAGGCTCAGAAGAGTAACTTGCTCATGGTTACTAAGTGGTGACACTGGAATTCAAAGCCAGTCTAGTCTACAGCCTAAGTATGTGCCTGTGTGGTTCTGGGACTCAGATGTAAATGGTAAACTTTCCTCTCCCCATAATTCTCCCTTGGGCTTTGCAAGGCCTTCTGCCCAAGCAGTCAATGTTATTTAGATCTAAGGAATAGTTACAAGTCAGTCATGAGGTGAACATGGCATCCCAGACCTGCTAGGTCTGAGGTGTAGCTCCTATAGCCTTTTCCTTTGTCCAAAGCAGGGACAAGTGACATGACAGGGTCTGGCATCAACAGCCTAAACTGTCACCCATTTAGCTCACCATCTCAGCTGGACTTTGGTCTCTAAGCCAATTCAGTGACTGAATGATACCGATTCCTCACTGGCCCATGGACAAATTCAGGGTCTGAGTGAACTTCCACAGAGGACCACATCCTAAAGCAGAATAGGGTTTTTTCCCTCCCAGGATACTGAGGGCTGGCTCAGGGTGAGGCATAGGGGAGGAGGTGGTGAGTATTTGTTGGCTAAACCAATGGATGGGTCTAATTTACCACTATACATAGCACCTAAGCTATGGGCTGATTCATGGCACTTTGGTTGAGAATGGGCTCTTTGTCTAGGAGCTCTACCAGCTGCTGATTTCAGAAAGGCAGTACCTGCTACTCCAGTTGAGGATGGAGATGAATGAAACTGCCCTTGGGTCTTGAATCAAAGAACAGGCAACAGGAGAGGGTGGCTAAGGGATGATCCTGAGGTTGTTTCTGGTCCTAAGGGATGTATTTCCCAAATAGATGGTCCTCCTTTAAATGATTAGTAGTCCCAATAGCTATGAATTTAAATATCAACATCTTCTTTCAAAACCCATAGATATTTTTAGAGTAGGTTAGATTTTAATTTACTAACATTGCCAGTATAATTCTATTTTAGTACTTTGGTTTTCATTATTCATTCTCAAGTGTGTGTGTGTGTGTGTGTGTAGTAGAAGGGTTTCAGGCTGAAGTCTAAGGCTTTATTTATTTATTTTTTCCTGAGTCCCATTGCATTAGGGCTGTTCCATTTTGCCAGATTTTTTTTTTTTTTTTGTACCAGGGATTGAACCCAGAAACGCTTAACCACTGAGCCATACCCATTTTTTAATATTTTATTTAGAGGCTGGATCTTGCTGAGTTGCTTAGGGCCTCAGCTAAGTTGCTGAGGCTGGCTTTGAACTCACAATCCTCCTGCCTCAGCCTCCAGGGGCACTGAGATTACAGGTGGACATCATTGCACCCGGCAGTTTGTCAGACTTTGCTGGCAGTAAAAGGCAGTGTATTTGAGGTGGGTGGCATTTCATGATGAGATTAAACGTGTGTCTGTCTGTTGGATCTTATAGGTAGCTCCTGAGGAAGATGAAAGGAAAAAGAGGCGACGGGAAAGGAATAAGATCGCAGCTGCCAAGTGCCGAAACAAGAAAAAGGAGAAGACAGAGTGCCTGCAGAAAGTGAGTCCCTGCAGCTTTCCCCGCTCATTCACTCCGTCCCCCACCAGCCTCAGGTCACTGTCAGAAGAAGGGCTTCCTGGTAGCAGAAAGGCCAGTTGCCGAATGAGTAGCAGAGCTGTTAAAACAATGGATAAGGGTTTGGATGCACAAAAAGCAGGTGTGTGAATTAAAAACTCCAGACTCCAGAGTCCCGGCTGGTCCATACATGCCCATCAGCTCCCAGGCTGGGGGATATGCCAGCCAAGTTAAGGAGTCTTCACCTGCCCATTGTCTCAGAAAGGAAACTTGCTGCTCTCCTTTGGCTCACTATGAAAAGCCTTAAATTAATCTCTTCAAACAAGTTATTTCCTGAATCTGCAAACACCGGTTGCACTGCTTCTTTGGGCTCTATCTGGTTCTGAACTCTGCTGTCCTCCCAGCTCATCCAGTGGTCTGAGCCAATTCTGCATGAGGCTGGCAACCTGGGGAAACACTAGGGGAGCAGCCTGTGTGGGCAGGTGGAACAGACCGTGGTGCTACAGTCCTTTCATTGGCTGTGTCTGCTCCCCCAAGTGTGGACTGGCCATGGAAGAGTCTTAACCCACAGGTCCCTGAGGGTTTTGCAGATGGCTCCAGGGTATTGGTGGAAATGAGGAAATTTTGTGGTATCATTTTTTTTCTGGGGAGATGAACTTGTCCATGAGATCAGTGACTTAACCAAAGACCAAGAACCATGAGTCTTGAATTTTTCCCTAGCTTTTCAGGTCCAGATGCCCATACATATGGGGCCAAGGACTCATGCCTAGTTCGTCTCTGGATCATTGGTCTTGTTGCAGTTTCAGTACTATAGCATTCAGCCTACCTTGGAGGCATCTCCAGGGCTTTTCTAAAGGGGCCCCTCAAGTTCAAAGGCTTCTCCAGGGTCTGTATTCTCCCATTCCTAGTGCTGCTCTTCCATCTTTGTTAGGGAATATTTCCCTCTGCAGATTTCTTGCAGCTTCATGAGCCTTGAGGTGCCCCAGCCACCCCCCCCCACTGCCACCCTGTCCTGGCTGGCCCTTCCTGATCTCCCTTCCTAATGCCTCTTTTGTTTGTCCCCCAGGAGTCAGAGAAGCTGGAGAGCGTGAATGCCGAACTGAAGGCCCAAATTGAGGAGCTGAAGAATGAGAAGCAGCATTTGATATACATGCTCAACCTGCATCGGCCCACGTGTATTGTCCGGGCTCAGAATGGGCGGACTCCAGAAGATGAGAGAAACCTCTTTATCCAACAGATAAAAGAAGGAACACTGCAGAGCTAAGCAGCAACTGGGAGTCCTCATCGAATACTCCTTTTTCCACCTAAAACCCTGAAGCCATTGGAAAGCCGACTTCCTGTGCACCTCTAGAATCCCAGCAGCCGAGAACCACTGAGGCAGGAGGGCCCATGGTGACTCGAGAGGGCCTTCCCACTCTGCTGCAGAGTGAACTTTGGACCAGGTCAAGAGCATCCTCTGCCTCAACTCCAGGATTTAGGCCTTGACGTACTGGCTGTTCTTAGATGTTCCAGATGGCCCCTGATTAGGGTCCTGCCTGCTTTCATGTGAGTTCTACAAGAACCAGGATGCCCATCATTAGGATTCAAGCAAAAGGGTCTGTACCTTGGATGGGTGGAGTGGCGCCATCTCTTCCACTGCAGCTGCCGCTGTTGCTCATAGGGGAGTGAGAACAACATTTATTGAAGTTGTGCAATGGCCAGGGTTGTGCTTTCTAGAGAATATGCTGTTATGTCCTGGAATTCCTGTGTGTGCAAGGCATTCGTTTCAAAACTAGGCATTATGCTCTTTTGATGTTTGTTTCGTACAACACTGGTGTGTGACTTTTCCGTGGTTTTCCTCAGATCTGGTTTCTGAGAGTCTGGAGGGTCCCTCGCCATGGGCAGTGTCTTACAAAAATGTTCGGGTGGCCAGAAGCGCTTGCCAGGCCCGGGAGAGCAGAATCGTTGTCTTTTGGCCAGCAGAGCAGGTCTGGGTCAAAGAGGAGGCCTCCTTTTTCCCTTGGCGCCCAGGTGTTAAGGGAAAATCCATGGGCCTGACAGTGGGTCCTCTGTTGCAGGCTCAGTTACAATGTCACAGGAAGAATGCAGAAGGAAAGTCTAATTTCCAAAGGGTTAGGACTATCCACTCAGTGACTTTGTCAGGATTTATTTCTAGTGGAAGAGCCAAAGAATATTCCATTTTCCTTTCCTTGTGGTTAAAATCTGATCAGTGGAGATGCAGGTTTGAAGCCAGGGGATACCCAGGCTTTAGCATTATTGGATGTCAATGGCACTGTTTTGGTCATGTATCTGTTTTAAGAAATCTGGCCCAGAGCATTTGCAGCTGCGAGAGGTCACTCACACTGCCCACAAGGACTCTGGCTACTGTCTGATAAAATTCTGATGTTTCTGTGAAATCCTCAGAGTGTTTAACCCTTCTTAATAGTATCATTACAATTTTTTTCTGTAAGAGAAAATATTATTTATCCTAGTATCCTTAACCTGTCAATATAATAAATCTTGGAACCAAGATGTGGTCAACGTTAAGTGTTATACTCGTTTCTGTGTTTTTTTTTTGTTTTTTTTAAGGCTCTTTGTTGTTGAAAAGGTTACCCCCACCCCAGCCACACATACCTCTCTTCTCCCCATTGTGGGAGACGATTTAGTTTTGAACATTATCCAAGTGTCCTCCTCCTCTGTCTTTGGGCTCCAATAGGTAGGTTAGTTGACTTTCAGTCCTCTTTCTCAGATCTCTTATTGATAATCCCCGGAACACAGCACCTAGTTTATCCTAGTTAACTGGTGCTAACATAGAAGTTAGATAGATTTAAAATCTGAGTTATAAGTACCTCAACCATCAGTTTCTCTGAATGTACAAATGCATAAAACACATTTCTTGTTCAACTTGAGCCTTTGAAAACTGACCTGCCACAGCATTCTTCTTAAAGTATCCACTTGAATTATATCTGTTATAACATCCAAATGTGTGTCACATTGTGGCAACTATGTATTTAAAGATCAGAAAAGAATGGGAAGGGGGATAGAGAGGAAGAAAGAATAATTTTGGACAAGATGGGTATGATAATTCAGAGAAAGCTATTCTCCCTCATTTTCTGGAACTGCCTGGACACATATAATACAGACTAGAAATAAGAATCAGCCACTCTGCTACCTTCACGATGCTGACGTCATTAACTGTGACATTGGTCTACATGAATGGTACCTCTGCTTCTTTGAACTATGTGTGGTTCCTTTAGACTATCACTTATGACAAAGGCATCTTAGTTTGGCTGCTTTAGTGGCACATCAGGGGTGGTTCCTCATCTGTGGAGAACCATCTGAGGTTAGTACATTCGCCACTTCTTTCACTAGATAATTTATGCTTGCCTTGGTGGAGGGGAAAACTCCCCTGCATTTACCCTCTGGTTATGGGTAAAGGTGCCAACACCAGCTGTTAGGAAACTCAAGATAATTTGCAAACTGCCATGAATAGCAATAGATTAGAAAGAAAGGGAGAGAGGATAGCCATGGCAGGAGACATTGATCTGAGAATCATACTGTGTGTGGTTAGTGTGATTGAAAATTCTTAACTAATGCATTAATAAGTTTTGTTTTCTGTAGCCAAGTTTATGTTTTGATACTTTAATAAAGACAAGGATATATATTATTTACCATCAGGTCATTTGGTTCATCTTATTTTGGGTACTGGGAATTGAGCCCAGAGGTGCTTAACCACTGAGCCATATCCCCGGCCATTTTTTTTTAAGACAGGATCTCAGGGCTGGGGATGTGGCTCAAGCGGTAGCGCGCTGGCCTGGCATGCGTGCGGCCCGGGTTCGATCCTCAGCACCACATACAAACAAAGATGTTGTGTCCGCTGAGAATTAAAAAATATATATATATATATATAAAGACAGGATCTCATTAAGTTGCTTAGAGCCTTACTAAATTGCAGAAGCAATTGTGGGTGGTGCTTCTGGCAGGGCCTAGAAAGCCACCCTCCCCCCTCCTGTTGTCTTCTTCCTGTCTCTTTACCTTGCCCTGAGGTCTATCCTGACATCTGTTTCAGGAGTAAAGGGTTTGAATGCGTTCTGATTCAGGACAGGAATGCTTTCACTTTCTGTCCAGAGGTAAAATGCTATTTCCCAACTCCAAATAAATCCTTGACATCCAAATCCACACCAGGCGTTCTCCTCTCTTCTGTCTCATGGTAACAGTCCAGATCTTCCCAAAATGAGGCCATATTTGTCCTTTGAGCATCCTTCTGTGTCTTCATGGTGGAACTAACTCCAAGCTCTTCCAAGTCTCTTATAAAAAAATGGCTCCCAGGAAGGAATTTACACTGAGTTGCCAAGCACTGCTGAGGACTAATGCTAATTAATATTAGCTCAGTTATTGAATAGGGCACTATGCTAAGTACTTCACAAGCATTATCCCATGCATTAGTCAGCTTTCTGTCACTATAACAAAATAATTGAGATAATCAACTTATAGAAAGAAGAGGTTTATTTTGGCTCAAATTTTGGAGATATTAGACTATGATTGATTGGCTCTGTTGCTTTGGGCTCTC